AGAGCCTTCGAGCCAGCGTCTGTAGCAGACGCTCTACCTTGGTCATGGAGTCTGTCACAGTCTTCATGGAAGACTTGACTGCTTTGACCTCGTCGGACACCGCTTGAAGCTGGCTTGAATCAACGCGGTGTTCCAACTGGAATTCCATAACTTCCTTCATGATAGACGGATGGCTTTGAAAGCCACGCTCAATGATCTCCTGGGATCTGTTGAGGGACTGCATGAGAGTCCAAATGACTAACGCGCGGTCAGCTTCGGACGACAGATCAGAAACTCGTTGCGCCTTGGCTCGCAGGGTTTGCAGAGTACCGAAATACCGTGAGACACATCGTCCCACCAATAGCCACGCTTCCTTGGAAGGGTAGTTAGAAGCGGTCGTAAGAGACCGCTGGTAGTTCGTCATGTAGCTTAGAACCCGCTCACAGTGTTGCAAGGCGAGACGAGTCATGTGTCCTTTGAGACGTCCCTCTGGCGTGCTCATGTCGCGTAAGGAACTGTACGACTGCCCCAGGTCTTCGAGTAGTAAAGTAATGTGGGACTTCTGACTGTTCATGTTTTCATCATACGCAAAATATGATGGCAAAAGTGCTCCAAAACCCTTGTTGTGGTCAACCAAACGGCCGTTCTTGAGGTCCGCGGATGACGAGAAGAAATAGGGAGGCCGCATGTGCGAGAAAGACGCCAAGAGGTCACTGTCTTCCTGAGTGCGGTGCGCTTTCATGGACGTAGTATATGACCTGGCGTGTTCTTCTCCCGATTGAACACCAAACAACCATGATCACGAAGGCTGTGAATGAGTCCATGCAGCCAGCGAGTGATGAGATGTTGTGCTTCCTGACAAACTTGAGCACATCATCCATCGAGCTGAAAGTGTAGTCATCTGACCTGAAGGCAGAAGCATCAAGAGATCGGTTGGCCAACTTGTCTGCTTTTTCCTCAGCGTCCGTGAGACGTAGACGTAGGCTATCAATGGTGTCCGACATCTGCCTGAGAGAAGATGAGGTCTGCTGTTGGTACAACAACTGCTCAGATTCAAATTAGACAAGCTCTGATCGTATCCTGTGTTGTGGGGACCGTCCGTTGTCTGATTCCCGAGCACCGCATGAAGGCGCTCCTCTAGGCTTTTTCCCAAGTTGTTGGAAGTTGTCTCCAACAGTACTGAAGGTGCGAAGCATCTTGTCCTCCAACTTGGATATGCTCCTGGAGCTGGATTGGGTGATGCCTTCCATGCTAGCTCGAATGGAGCGTCCTTCTTCCTTGTTGATAAGTACCGCGTCACAAATCGTGGCAGCACCAAAGTCGGATGGGGTAGGCCCCACACGAGCGTCAATGATGTGAATAGCTTTGTTGCCATTGAATAAGTGCTTGTTGGTTTTGTCAAAAGCGATCGAGACTCTTGAAGTGAGGGTAACAACAGATGACCGGAGGGTATCCGTGGTGTCATTTAGCTTCAGAACGGCTTCCGACATCATCTTGAGGTCATATTTGGTCTCCTCATCCTGTGCCACGTCAGCTTCGGCAAGCATGTTGAGTCTGGCTTTGACGCCCGACCTCAACTGTTTCGCGCCCAAGGCTTCGTGCATTTCTTCCGACGTTGGTTCCATGAATCGCTGAAGCTTCGCGGGAGTCTTCAGGATACGGTCACCGCCGCTGAACGAGTTGGATGACTCTTGCTTGCTGTCAGGCGTACTAGGGGAAGAATTCGCGAGTTCGTGCTTAAATCCTTGGTGTGTCAAAACCATGGCACGTAGAACATCAGCTTGCCCAGTGAAACCCTTCAGCGATTTCGGAACCTCACTTGGCAGGTCGCCGATTAGAGCGGCAGGCACGGCAAAGGCCTGATCGATCTTCTTGGGAACTTGAATGAGTACAGTTTGGCCCATTATAGCACCCAGTTTTTCCTCGCGGTGCGCATAAACTTCGCAACTGATCTTCAAGCAGACACGGGTCTTGGCCGAGAACTTAATAAACCCCAAGCAAACATCCTCCTTAACAAGTACGAAACGAGTCTTACCTGAAGTGTCCAATCCTTGGTTACTATCAACACCTCCATTTCCACTTAAACCCCCCCGTCAATACTAGCACGGACTGAGTCGGCAGATGAAGGGGAAGTGCTATCGCCAAAAGCGTAAGCAGCTGGAAAAGCAAACTCATCGACCGTCATGGCGATGGATGTACTCGAAATTTCTCTGCAAATAGTCAAGATGGTCAAGAGAGTGATCAACCTCACTTGTTCAACTTGGTTGGCTGCAGGTTAGTCTTGATAGTAGCTTTTGGATCTTCTGCTTCAGGAAGAATGAGTCTGTGGTCTCTGTCCCCTAGGTGAAGTATGCCCTTCAACTTGAATGCGTGTGGTGTGTGGTGGTGGAGAGAAGAAGCTTGAGAAAAGGAAAACTCGTACAGTATCTTTTGTGTCGAGACACCTACCTACTGGCTAGTAGCTAGATCCGGCTAGCCAAAAGGTGCTACCCCTAATGATCAAACGACGCCAAGGAGCAACGCTCCATGCTACTAGCTAGATAAAGAAAGGTGTAGTTTATCAAAACAGGATGATGTATTTGGTATAGTATAGTATACAATTATCAAATTACAAAACTGTGTGGGTAGCAGACAGGTCTTTTTCTCGTTTTCGTTATTGAAGCCTGGCATAGGTAGCCCATCCTTGTTCTAGCAAACGCTTTCGGGCATCCTCCACTTTGCGAAGGAGTTTGGTATTGCCAGCAACGTGTTTGCGTGGGAGAGGATCTTCAATCACTACCTGTGGCTTGCTGCTAGTGGTAGTGGTAGTGCTGGTGTTTTCCAACTCTGGCGTGTCCACTTGTCGTGGGGGAAAGGACTTTTTGCGTCGAATGGCCTTGTTGTGCAGGAGTTGCTTGATGGTTTCGTGTCGTTGTGCTTGGATCTTGGCGGCACTCTTTTCGGAGCGCTTGATATCCTCCGAACTGACATCAAAGACAAATGTCAAGAGAAACTTGCGTGTTTCGCGGGTCAAGGGAGTCAAGACCGATGCTCGTTCTCGTGTGTCTTCGTACTTGCGCACTGTCAGAGGCTTTTGGTCGATGGACTTCCATCCCAAGCTCAAAGAGGGACCTTGCGATACGGCGGGGTTGTCTCCTGCGATGCGCTCGAATTCTCGAATCTGCACAGTGCCAAAGGACACCACGCGACGACGTCTTCGTGGCAGGGTGCCGGTGCTGCCTCTAATTTGTTTGTTGACAACAACCGCCTTCTTGGTGGGCATGCTGCCAGTGCTGCGACGGAGCTTTGTGGGTGCTTCGGTGGCTGCTGGGTTGGCCATGTTTGCTGCTACTGTATTATTGGACTGCATGGTATTGAATTGTGAGAAGAGGGGTCTGATGAAGGAGAGAAAGATCGCTGAAAGATAGCAAACTATTCCTGGCGGAAGTAAGAGCTTGGCCTCCAGACAAGGTTTCCTGCCCAAGAACAAAGATTGTGGGTCTGGTAGCGGTATTCGGGCAAGACCGCGATTTATCATTAGCCAGACTCATTCTGCATGCCCACCACGACGAGCATTTGCAGCGGAAGATAGACGGCTACTGCCAGCTTACTGCCTCCGCGTCAACCTTCACATCACCAAGCAGCTACTGGTTCTCTACTCAGAGCACGTAAAGAGCTTCTAACGCGTCAAAGCACGAGGATGCTCTTCGACTGGGAGAAGAAGTACATTTTACACCATACTAACTTCCCCGCAGTCACAATACTCAAAACATCCAACTTAGCGTTCTCACCTGTAGCTTTGGTACCGGTATTAGTCATTCGATAATACTAGTGTACTCACAGTGCTTGTAAATGGGTCTGGTGTTCACTGGTTTCTTTTTTATCTTCCGCGTAAGGTATCACTGCGTAGAGAGGGTAAATTATTCTATTCACCATTCACAATCTCAACAGAAAAGTACAGTTTTTCTATCAACCACCACATGAGCCTTTCCCAAATGCCCTGATGAATGGTTTGAACTGGTCAATGCACTTTATTTACGGCTTAGAGGAAAACAATGGTAAAGGCGTAAACTCACCGTAAGGGCCTGTGGGAATCAACGAGAATGACCCAGTCAGGACATAATATTTTGTGTCACGGTTCAAGTTTGGCCTTGTGCTTTCCGATCGAAAGAATAACAATGTTCCTTCCAATGAGGACATAAACCTGTTGAAAACAGTTTCCTATTGCCACACTTAGAAATCTCTCAAAGCAGTCTTTACCTTGCGTTCTTTTGGAAATGGTCCTTTAATTCGTTTTGATAATTGGAACAATAAGAACGGACTTTGAAAAATGATTGCCGGAAATCTATGCCAGGAACAGTAGATGATTGCCACAGTTGCTACCCCAAAACAGGAGTGCTAAAGTTCAATGTGCCCCTTGAACGAAACGTTCGTCTAGAAGCAGTCACGTTTTTACCAAATTTGTCCGGAGCAGTCATACCTGATCACGTGAGAGAATCAATCCAATCAGTGAGTTATTATGGTTTTCTCCTTTACGAATACAAAAAGAAGGCTGTTTGTTCTGAGAGCATCTGAGTGTCTCAACTGATTTATTTGTAAATGACCCAAAAATTGACTCACAAAATGTCGTTTTAATTAAGTCGTTCCACGAACCAAGCTTGTCTCGTACGTGGTTTCAGAACAAACACACACACATCATTTATTTGCAGTGGCGACTTGTTTTGTCACCATGGATGGATGCAGTGGCCACACCACCAGTACCGCGCAACATGGCATCGTCATCCGGCATCATCGTGGCGACGCAGTCGCCACATGCGCAACCAACACACTCGGAGCAGGACGCTTTCGATGTCATAGCAGGCCCCAGAAGAAAGTTCATTACCCAGCGCAATTCCCCCACCGTGCGTCTCATCAATACCGCGTTGCCACTTCCGTGTTGAACACCGCCGTGATCATCAGCTCCACCACTTCCTGATTATCTTGTCTCGGCACATTTTGATCGACTAGCTTGATCGTTTTTCTCGGAATATCAAGGTACCGGTACTTGAGAAGATTCAGGAATGTTCCGATCTTGCAGCAGGCTTCCCCTGGTCTCGATTGTTGTGTTGGGTATCTTGGCAAGATCCGCCGTGGCCTTCGTGTCTAGACCCACCACTGCTGGTAGTACTAGGAGTGACAGATTGGCTCGTGGGATGTTACCCAACTCCCTCCAGGGTGTCATTTTTGACATTGACGGAACCTTGGCCGATTCTTGGAAGCTAGGATTCGATGCTACCCAGAGTGTCTTGACCCAAAACAACATTGACCCTATTACGGAAGAGGAGTATCATCGTTGCACTCGATACTGCACACCCGATCGATTGGCACGTCATGCCGGATTGGAACCGGGTGATGCCGAATTTGAAGCCGTCGGTGAACGATTGGGGCACGAATTTGATACCCTCTACATTGGACTCGTCTCGCTGGAAACGGCGGCATTCTTCCCGGGGATTCACGCGTTCCTAGAAAACTTGCCGTCGCACTTGAAACTGGGAGCATTGACCAATGCCGCGGTGGCGTATGCGCATGCGGTATTTCAAGTTAATTTGAAGAATAGTGAGAGAAGTGTCAAGTTTGAATCGGTTCATGGTGCCGACGATGTCCCGGCACCCAAACCGGCGGCCGATGGATTGTGGTTGGTCTGTCAAGAATTGGGGGTGAAACCCGAAGATTGTGTCTACGTGGGGGATAGTCCCAGTGATGCCATGGCAGCCAAGAATGCTGGTATGCCCGCTATTGGGGTTCTGTGGGGCAGCCACAGCGAACAAAGCTTGCAAAAGGCTCCCTTTGATCATCTTTGCCGGACCGTGGAAGAATTGAAAGAGATCCTTCCGGGATCCGTGCCAGCAGCTGCAGCAGTGGTGCAAGAGTAAAAAGACTGTACAGGCTAGCTACTAGGCAGACAGGCAGCTGCCAATGGCAACTGTCCTAAAGCTGTGGCTTGAATTGCTTCGTGCATATTGTAAACCTACTTTCGGTGTACATAAACTATCAATGTAGAAATATTCAGTGAAGGACCCGTAGCTATGGACTTGAATTGCTAAGCCTTAGAAGTTTTAACAAACATGAGTTGATTACAACAACAACAATATCTTTATAACGGATAGTATGGTTTCAGTTGACGAATGCTCCTGTGTCCCAGCTGAAGCCTTGGGCAATCCCCGCAAGCCGAAGCAAGGGTTGATCTTACAGAGAGGCAACCAAGGGCACCCTCGTTGGCAGCACAGCCACTCACAAGGGGAGGAGTTGGTGCATTTATGTATCATCAGTAATTTTACTTCATACGATTTTAGCAACTGGATTACATGGGAAGATCTTGCAGGACTGTGCCAAACATCAAAGGCTGAAGGAATTGTCAAATGACATGAAAGTGTTTTTGGTAGGAAAAAATAAGAACGTCAGAGCTAGCTACCCAGATAGTAGATCAATTCTGCCAGCTAAGTTACTGCAAAATTTAGCAAAAGCAATGCGACCTCATATCCACCAGCCGTGCATGAGAGGGATGTTCAGTTGCCTGCCTGGCCCTTAGTTCACGTCATTATCAGTGTGGCAGCTCCTGCTTACGCAAGGGATGCGAGACTGACGGCCAGCCATGATGAGACACTGCTGCAATTTCAGAAAAATTTGTGATATATAAAGTGATAAAAAAGTATTTGTATCCATGACTGAGAGGACAGGCCCCTTTGCTCGCTGACACTCACCAGAGCAGATCTACGTAGCAAGACATCAGATAGAAGACGACCAAGTATTCTCCTGCATTCAGCTATCTTTACTTCTTTGCTCCCTTCCTCCTATCCACTCGACTACCAGGTAGCTAGCTAGTCCATCATGGTGAATGCAACAGCTGCTCCACAGTTGATTCTCTTGTTGATGACGGATCAATTTCGCCAAGATGCCTTTACTCCGGAAATCACACCCAATTTGTATCATACCTTCTCGTTGGATCCTCACGCCACTACCTTCTCCAATGCCTACGTGAGCACTCCCATTTGCACACCGGCTAGAGCAGGATTGCTGACGGGAAAGTCTCCTTGGGCACATGGCATGTTGGGGTACGCTTACACGGTCAATTGCAGTAGTTACCCCACCACCTTGCCGCAGGTGCTGCAGGATATGGGAGGTTACGAAACCTTTTCGGTGGGCAAGAACCATTTTGGATGGCATCCATCCGGGGAATACGCTGGACAGGGATATCAACATCGGCAAGTATACGATGCCTTGACCCGTCAACCTCATCCTGACGAATATATGGAATATTGGGACAACTTACATCCTGGAGTGGATCCGCTCAGTGTCACCTGTGAACATGGATTGACCTACAATGAGTGGCGAGCATGTCCTTATGGTGGAGTTAATGAAAGTGAACATCCTACGCCTTGGACGACACGACAAGCTCTGAAATACTTGAATTCCTTTGATTTTTCCAATAATTCCAACCAAAAAATGTTTCTCAAAGTCAGTTACCACCGCCCTCATTCACCCTATGATCCCCCGGCGAGGTTACTCGACAAACGATTGCAAGGACATGTCCCCAAACGATTCATCAATAATACCAGCTGGGATATTAGATACGCCAATTCTACACCCATGGGTGCTTCGGATTGGTTTGGTGACCCTGGAGATGAAGTGGCTCGGCATTCTCGTGCTGGGTATCTGGCCAGCTGCGAGTTTGTCGATGAAGGCATGGGGACCATTTTTCAATGGCTCAAAGAACATGGCTTGTGGGATTCCTCTTTGATTATCTGGACCACGGATCATGGTGATATGAATGGGGATCAGTGAGTGGACTTCTACATTTTTTAATCGAAGATGACAGTTTGTTTTTGCAGCAAAGATGTTTCTCAACATGTCGCTTATCGTCTTTTTTTAGCAACATGTGGCGCAAGGGGTATCCTTATGAAGGAAGCTCGCACGTCAATCTTGTTGTCAAAGTTCCAGCGGCTGATGGTTCGTCCAACACAATCATGGACACACCCAATAGGAGTCCAGCGTTGGTGGAAACCCGCGATATTGCGGTGACAATCTACGACTATCTTGGTTTGTTGGGCAAGGTGAAACAAAAAGATCCTTTGGTGAATGGCAAGTCCTTGATACCAATTGTGAAGAGTGGTGGAGACGTGAATCATCAAGTCCGGTCCTGGTTGGACCTGGAATTGGCAACACAGTACAGAGCTGACATTCAATGGAATGCCATTGTGGGACGATTTGAGTTCACCGATGATGGCGGAGAGGAGTCGTGTGGATTGTGGAAATACATTTACCATGTTTGGATTGGTCAAGAACAGTTGTTCTGTTTGACGCGAGATCCATGGGAAACCTATGATTTGTCCAAGGTTCGTGCGTTCTCACCAGTCACAAAGCACTGGAGGGATACCATGATCCATCAGTTTGAAACGGAGCAACGTGGGGAACGGTGGGTCAAGAATGGTCATTTGGTTGTTGGACGATGGACGCCTACATTGGCAGCAAACTTTCCATGCAAAAACGACAATGGCGGTAAGAGGGATGGGAAGTGGGAGGACGACTCTGAATCTCTAATTGTGAAAGCAGAATATTAGCTCACACGTGAAGAACGTTGCTGTCCTTATCATGTGTAACTTCAAACCGAAACATTCAATCATCATGCATCCGTATCGCAAATGCTGGCAACGAGCCTGTCATCAATCTCCTTTATTGCGTGGTGTCAATCCAAACGCGGGTCTGACAGTACCGCGGGGGACAAATGGAGTACTCTTTCGGCCGTCAGTGGTCTTTGACAGTTCTTCAAGCCTCTTGCGAGCTTGGTCATGGTTCTCCCGCCACGTGTGGGCAAGCTTTTCCATATGTTCTTGTGTATTGTCGTTGCTAATGAGCACTTCTTGACAGCAATCTTCGTGTCCATTTTTTGCTATTTCCGCAAGTTTTGCACGACTTTGCTGTTGAGTTTGCTTCCATTGGCGTTGTAAGATCTCTAGCTCCAGTGAATTGTTAGTGTAATCGTCTGTGGTACCACTATTTTCTTGCTTCTCGGACAGGACTCGCTCGGCCTCTGTCGCCCTTGATTGGAGGGCTCGGTTCGTCTCCTGGGCTTCCTTTAGTTGCTGTTTCAAAGAGATGTTTTCTTGGGACGCTGCTTCCGCTGAGTTGTGGGCCAGAGCGACCTTTGCCTCTAGTTTGTCTGCTCGTTCCTTCCACGAATCTCGGTCCGCCAAAAACTCGTCCATCTCGTGCTCATCGGCCTGATTTTGTTGTTTCTCTACTGCCTCATCGTACTTTTGTTGCAGGCTGGACAGTTCACTCTTCAGTTCTTCATTTTCCTCCTTACTGCGTGATTGTTCTGATTCTAGACTATGGATTCTTGCTGTAAGCTCCTTTCGGTCATTGCTCATGCTTGCCTTCAGCTCCCGCCTGACCTGAGCTTCAACTGCCTGCTGCTGACTTGCCTCTTTGGCCTTCGCCATGAGGTTCTCGTGGTCCAAACGATCCAACTTTCTCGAGAGCTCGGCGTTTGCCTCATCGAGGCGTTTTCTCTCCTTCCCCAGTGAGTCTATCTTTGACTGAAGAGTTCGGCGTTGAACCTCGAGACTTTGCTCCTCCTCTGCCTGTGCGCTTTGAACTGTAGCCTCAAGGATGTTGATCCTTGTTTGCAATCCAATACGTTCAGCTTTCATTTGACTGTTTTCTCTTTGCATCTCTGCATAGTCGTGATCACGGGCGACCAGATTGTCTCGTTGATTGAGGATTCCGGCCACTTCTGCTTTCAGCTCGCTTACACGTTGTCGTTTCTGGTCAAGCTCTTCCTCCAAGCGGTCTATTTTGGTTTGCTTTTGCTCTATGCGCAATTGAAAGCTGAGACGTTCCTTGTCCTTTGTCTCCGCAAGGGCATCCTTCTGGGAAATCAAACGGCTGATCTCTGCAAAGAACTCAATGTCAATGAATGAACACCGTTGAGGATGTACGGTACCAGTAGTGTTCCGATGGTACAAGCAGGACATGATGACCACATACCTTTCTTGGCTTTATCCACCTGTTCTTGAAGCTTCGCGATGGCCCGGTTGTGTTTCTCTCGTTCCTTTCGGTTTCGAAGCGATCGCTTAAGCTTCTCCTGTTCCTGGGTAGCAGATCGCAGCTGCACCTGGAGGTTTTGAAGGGTGAAGTTGCGCAGTACCAACTGATCTTCCAGATCAGTTCTTGCGAACTGCAGCTTGGTCACTTCTTCTTCCAGTAACTGGATTGTGAAGGACGAATTTCGTATCTCCTCCAAGAGTAAATCCTGATGGTTGACCTGTAAAAGCGAAATAGAAATCCGAGATTGAGTTGTCGCCGGCAGAGCAGAGTGCGCTGATGCATGTGTCTCATTACCTGCTTGCCGAAGTCAAAGACCAACCGAAACAAGGCGGCAATGCAGCGGAGCACCCAGTTCTTTCTTCGGGCGTGGAACTGCTGCATAAGCAACTTTTCAATACTTTGCATGTACGTGTTGCTTTTCGACCGTGTGTTCGCATACTCCGTCACCTGCGTCTTGAGCCCGCTGTTTTCGTTGTTGAGCGTTGTTATCTTTTCCAAGAGTTCTGTTCGGGAAGCTTTGAATTCTGGCAGATGGGCATATGGGCTTCTTGAGCCCAAAAAGAAACCTGTCCTAGTGGTAGTGGTGCGTTGTAGTCCATTAGCTCCGAACGGATTTCGTCCCTCGACCGCCCTCGCGAGTGCCGCTGCGGTCAAGGCCAGGACAAGACAGAGCCACCACCGCATGGCCAACGAGATTTAATCAGATCACTCCTGATGCCTGCCAAAAAGCTGACCTATTTAGAGGGAGAAGCTGTGTTTGTGATGGAAAATGGATGAAGAACGGCGAGCGTGGAATCTACCCACGAAAACTGCCACGGGGCAATTCTCAATTGTCACACACCACAAGCTCTGACAGTCCGGCACTGGTAGGTTTCCACGACAACGACTGTACCACCCAGCGCGCAAGCTAGCAAGTAATTGAAAGAAAGCTCACCATTCTAGATACGGATCAATTCGCAGGTGTATGACATCGTACGAGATGGTTGCTCGAAGAGAGTAGAAGAGAGACTGAATCTGTCGAAACTGCTACAGTGGCACAGCGAAGAAGAGAGATCCATGTCATCCTCGTCACCTAGCTACCACATAACTGGAACAATGAGTCCACCACCTAGGCACCCAGCTAGCAGGTAAGTTGGCTTACTCCAGATCCACGGTGTTCGCTGCCGGTACACATGTACCAACTGGCTTCTGATTCCTTGAACCGATTCCCCTACGATCACCTGACGAAGTTGAGAAGCACACCCCAGTGCCAACTGGCTGGCGGCTCCGTCAAATCTAATGATAAATCATACTGTAGCGGCTTGCAAGAGATTCTGCAGGACTCCTCCAATCTAGCCAATAAAGTGTATTTCCGTCCGACACACATCCCCTGGTTCTGCCCAGGTTGATAGTCGGGCATCACCGCTCGACCAACACCAGTAACAACACCAAGACACACCTCATGTTGACTTTTGGACCAAACCCGGCTGGGCAATCTACATGTAGGTCCCAATTCCCACTCCCGTACTTTGGTCTTCTGGTGGCCTGCACTGCTGGGCCGCTGGACACCACGTACGGTCCAGCTAGCTAGCTACTAGCTAGCTAGCCTATCGGTGTGGTATGCGTAGTACATACTGGTACTTGTGGTTCAGACTTCAGACCCAGTCCCCGGCTGTCCAGCTGTCGCGTCTCGAACATCAGGACATAGGTGTGGTACCGCTGGGCCGACACAAGCCTGATGTTATGTAATATGCAAGCCTGGAGTTGATGATTAAATGAAAAGGTTTATGTTTTCCAAGCAAAAGAATTACAGATTGATCACTCGTGAAGCAGAAGCGTGAAGTGACCCCACCCTGTTCGCTTCTGTCAACCTGAACCCCAAAACCAACGGCAAACCGAGGAGCCCGGGCTCAAAACAAACAAACACAACAATAGCACGCAGAACCAAAACACCACAAAGAAAAGGACATGCCATGATGTCCACCGGGGAGAGTGATGACATTGTATCTATAGAACCACAAGAAGCTTCCTCACCAGAGGAAGACCTTGTTGGTGGCGAAATCATAAATGAGGAATTGGCTCTTGCAGATTTAGAGGATGCTGTTGCTAAGCAGGTACGAACCAGAAGCAGTACTAGTTTGGCTTTTCACCCAAAGAAAGCAAGCTGCCCTTCGGGACAGACATTGGGTATTGATGATGGTGGGAATGAATCATCTTCTGGATATGCATGCGATGGAGGCACCACACAGGATCCTCCTCTGGATCGTGGAATCATGCCACTGCCAGAAATGCAACGAAATATGGTCGCAACAGAGGAATTGACACCGGGTGCATACCTGTTTGAAGGCGGAGAATTCAGGACAGCAGCGGAAGCAAATGCTAATGGCTCGGATGACTTTGATTGGGAGGGATACCGTAACCAGCAACGAACTAGCCAGCAACAGACTCATGTCTCTGAACAAACAGGAACTAGCAGACCTGTTCTGGCTGTTGCCAACACTGTGGAAGAAGTTGACCCCCTCAGTCTACCTCAGGCCATGCCATCAAAAGCAAACAGTGGCAATGTCACACGAGGCCAGAAGGATAATGGTTGGGTTGCTATTTGCACTTGTGCTGGGCTTGCTTTAATGGGACTGTTTGTGCTTTTGATTGTATTCCTTGTTTCAGGCACCGTTCAAGCAACCAACTACCCAGCAGCAGCTTCGTCCATGGCCCCGACCTCACCAATCTCACTGGAATCATATCTTTCATCCTTGTTGCCAGATCACACTATCAAATCCATGGAAGACAAAGACTCAGCACAATACCAGGCATTTGAATGGCTTCTTGGAGATCCCTATGTCCATGGATATGCTGAGGCAAGGTTTCTTCAGAGACATGCACTAATGAGTCTCTTTTATGCCACTGCTGGTCCCACTCAGTGGACCAACAAGACAGGTTGGGGAAGCTACAGCCTACATGAATGTGACTGGTACCAGAATCAAGAGTTTGCTTCAAAGACAACCATGCAGAATTATTACCCTGGTTACCTACAAGGCTTTCTGGAGCCACTACCTGACAGTAGATGTGATAATCAGGGAATCTACAGGCATCTTTGGTTGGATCAGAACAATCTCATGGGTTCTATTGTTGAAGAACTTTTTAGCTTGACCTCCCTCAAAACATTATCGGCTGGCCTCAATCCAATGTATGGCACAATTTCCAGCTATATTGGGCAGATGAGTGACTTGGAGGGGCTTGCCATTGCATCTGCAGGGCTGTCTGGATCGCTGCCAAGTGAAATGGGTTATTTGTCATCAGTGAAGGTCAATGTCTTGTATGACAACCAGCTGGAAGGTATGGTCCCAGAAGAGATCTGGTACCTTACCAACATGGAATACCTTGTGCTTGGTCGCAACAAGCTACAAGGTTCCATTCCTTCGAAGGTTGGAATGTTTGCAAAGCTGAGGTGGCTATTGTTTGAAGACTGCGATCTTTCTGGTAGGCCTATATCAAAGCACTGGTTATTGCATCCGCCAACGGGTCACTCATTTCCCTGTTCTCCATTTCTGTCGTTTCTGCCTGAACACAGGGCCCCTTCCCACAGAGCTGGGGCAAGCTACATCCCTGGAATGGTTGGTCTTGGTGGCTGGAAACCTCTCTGGTACGCTCCCAACTGAGCTTGGATCCCTCCCCAGGCTTTGGATGCTTTCCTTGTATGGTAATCAGCTTGAGGGGGCTCTTCCTACAGAGCTTGGTGTTCTCCCTTCACTGGACATTTTGGATCTGCATTTGAATTCTTTTTCAGGAACTATTCCATCTGAGCTTGGTTGGCTTCAACACTTTCTAACTGTATCACTGGATGCAAATAACCTTTCTGGCGCCATTCCCACGGAGCTTGCCAACCTTTCAGACTTGTATGAGTTACCCCTGGGAGATAATCTCTTCACTGGTTTTATCCCGTCTGAATTTGGGATGATGCCGTCACTGGAATTTCTCTCTGTGGCAAACAATTCTCTCAGTGGGACTATACCACAGGATCTGGCTTCCCTACAACGTTCGCTGCACAGTTTCTATCTTCAAGGCAACTCACTCCTTTCTGGTGTAATACCAGACTTGCTTTGTGCCATCAACAAAACTTGCGTATTGGATTTGTTCGAAGAATGTGTGGGGCCTTACGGGCTAATTTTTGACTGCACTGATATGTTGTGTGGTTGTGACTGCCCTTGCTGAGAAAACAGTGAACCACTACTAGCTAGCTAGAGCTAGTAAGGCTCTGTGTTCCTGCGGCTCGACTGTCAAGGCTCTGGGATGATTGTGGCGCCCTCAACCTCTACAGCTAGTGGGCCCCTCCATCTCCCTCCCCTGGCTCTGTTTACTACATGTCCTCCCCTGCCTGTTGCCCCTTCTGTTGGCCTGCTCATCGGTTTCCATCCTGCCAGCGACTGACGACACGATTCACACATACATGTAGTAGTCCCCTCTAACACATCGTAGCCATTACACACTTAGCAATTGAAAGGAACGATTCAATCTCATCATTATAGATCAATACAAAAGGTGTATGACATTGTAGTTGCCAGCCAGACGGTTGCCCGAAAGGAGTACGTCGGAGACGGAATCTGTCGAAAGAGCTACGGTGGCACAGGGAGAGGAGAGAGCATATCCATGCCCTCGTTGAAATCTGTTTTCCTACAGTACGGTACTAGATAGAGCGTAAAAAACATCAATTCAATTCAAACGTAAAGTCAGCAGCGTCGGTTCGATTGTTCCGGTCCGTCCCGGGTCATTGACTCTATCATCCAGGTGGTGGTGTGGTCATGGTAGCACTCTGGAGAATTCAATTGCGTCCCGCTTGCTTCCTTGAACCGATTCCTCGGCCAGACACCTGATGAAGTCGAGAAGCACACTCCAGTGCCAACTGGCTGGCGGCTCCATCTTCAAAGCCTTGACCTGGCCACACTCAAGTGCTGTCAACTGTCAACTGCCCACTTACATGTACCCAAAAATTTTCCACCCAAAGAACATTCGCCCGGTTATGGCGCTTTGTTCTTTGTGCTCCGGCCGCAAGCAACCAAAAAGTATGCTTTGTTGGCTGAAGTGGTACCGGTGCCCTGCTGCAGGGTTGAAGAAGCTTTGAAGTGGTACTGGTACCGTTCTGGTTGAACGAACTCTATCTGGAACACTCCTGATATAGCCTCATTTAAGCAAAATGACCACCATCTAGTCTTAGCTTGATTGGCCTAAATGATGGAGGAAAGTTTCCCGACATTATGCCGACATTTTGCCGACATTTCCGACATTTTCCGACAAATGCCGACATTCTCGTACAAACCCCGACATTCTCGTACAAACGCCGACATTCTGCCGACATTTTGCCGACATTCACGATTAGAGCGGTTAACCCCTCAATAACAAAACGGAAGAAACTCGCTGAATGAGTCTTATATCTTTTTACTATGGTCATTATTGTAATTACGGGCGAAAGAACTCTGATTCGGAATGCCCCACGAATGAAGTTCTTTCATTCGGAATGATTTAAAGCTAATCGTGAATGTCGGAAACTCGCTAAGAAACCTTCCGACAAAATGCCGACATTCTCGTACAAACGCCGACATTCTCGTACAAACGCCGACATTTTCCGACATGGAGTTCAGTTCTCCGACATTCCTCCGACATTCACGATTAAGAGTTTTAGGCGGTATGACTTAGAGGCCTAGAATCAGCTAATTTTATTAAATCAGGCTTTATCGTGAGTGTTCCTGCTATTACTCCCTCCGTTCGGTATCGTACGGTAGTAGCTATCGTACCAGTATACCGTATGGCCAGTTTGGTATACATACGGTATTGTATTGTTGCCACCGGTCGAAGCCGAACTCGAAATGAGCCAGTGAAACCGCGACAGACACAATCCACAATCCTATCGTGCCGCAACAAACCACCAAGACACTGTTCGTTTGCAGGAGTCCGAGTGACCTTCGAACAAGAACAGGCACTACACACAACCCACAAAACCGAGAACGAAAAGCACAAGCATCATCTTTTCCACCGCGAACATGAACAAATCAACAAACATCACCACGATGATGCATACGTCCATGCCAGAGCTTCACTCGTGGAATCCAGACGACCGATGGTACTTGGAGGATGAGGATCATCTCGATGCGTCGGATCATCATAGTGAGGTCGTTACCAATGGACCACGACAGCGATTCGGAGAACTGACGGATCGTCCAAGATTCTTTTTGGGAGGAAGTGACCCCATTCGGCCAACGGGCCCGAGACGAAAGTTGAGGGCTTCGTGGTTGGAGAATACACCACCCGCACTCACTCCGATCCCCAAGCCAACGCGCATCTGGAAACCCCCCTCACGAAAGACCAATGATGGTTCATTCCAACAGCATCAACATGTCCTGTCCAAAAAGGCAGAACCCAAAGAAGCTGACGGCAAGAAAAAGGCAGCACGAAAGGTCAAGGAGGAGACCCATCAGGAACACAGAGACCAACCCGAAGAAACAACCTCTGAACTCAAAGAAACTGAGTGTCCCGAAAGGAGTGTGGTCAACGATCACGGCAACGGTGTGACACGGACGGACACAAGCTCGAAAGAGAATGCCGCACCACCACCGAGACTGGCGAATACCAAGACACCGCAATCTGACAACAAAGAAACCTCTGTTTCCTCCAAGTCGAAAACGAACAAGAGGCGGAAATCCAAGCAAGGTGACAATAAGGCGAATCCCGGACCAACGGCCAAGCCCATGGCCAAACCTCGATTTGGGACCAACACGAGACGCACGTCTGCTGCCAAAAAGCCAGTCCCAAAGGATGTCACACAGAGCGACCCAAAAATTGCCTGCTCCTCCAAGGAGCTGCCTCTTGACGACGAATCCTTGCGCCTGTCGGACATATCATCCGATTGCGAGAATGAATCTGAACCCAAGAAAACCTTTAGATCTTCCTTGCTGCATCATACTACCAGAAACTCAGCATCGTGCCCAGAGATCAAGACGGTCCGATGGGCTACCAATCTTGAAACCAGAATGCCTCAGAGTCCACTCAAGACAGACCGTGTCACGAATCAAGAGCCCGCGAGCAATGAGAGCCACTCTGCAAAATATGAAGCCATCATCCAACAGCAAACCAAAACACCAGAAAGTCCACTCAAGAAAACCAGTGTGAGAGACACGGCAACTCTGGAGCCCACAAGCAATGGCAGTCGCTGTGCAAAACCTGAAACAAAGATACAACATCAAACCAAAACGCCTCCTTCAACTCCACTCAAGACAGACCGTGTCAGCAATCATGAGCCCACGAGCAATGACAGCCACTGTGTTAAACATGAAGGCATCATACAACAGCAAGCCAAGGAGATTGAAAGGATTCGAAAGGAGAACGAGCTGTTGAGGAATCAGCTGGCGGAATCTCATAACAAAGCTGCCAAGTTGGAACAAAAACTCAATGCAATCAAATCAATGTGTCTCGAAGACTAGGATAAATAAATCATAGCGACTTACTAGTAATTAATAAGAGATTCTGCAAGCCTCCTCCAAGCTAGCCAAAAAATGTATTTCCGTCCAACACACATTCCATGTCCTGCTCAGGTTCTTCATAGCCGGCACTACGGTACGCCTCGACCGTCACCCAGCAACAGCACCAAGACACAGCTCATGCCGACTTTTGGACAACTCTACCAACTTTCGGCCGGCTGGGCATACCTTGGGTCTACCAAACCCCGATTCCTGGGTCTACATCATCTGTAATCATAGGTACCGTACTTCTTGTGGCTAGCTGGCACCACACCGGGACCGCTGCTGGGCCCGTGGCTGTGTCTCCGGGTCGGCTCCAGGCCCGCCTCCCCCTCGCAATCGGTGTGAGATCGAACAATCGTGGTGGATAAGGATACTTAGAGAGTAATTCAGAGAGGCACAGGATCTGTGAATCAATCCGTAAACGTTATGTATTCTTGTTGAGCTGTATCATGCAAGCATGGAGTCATGGTTCAAGAAACCACTTATGGTATTCAAAAATCATTTACCAGTACATTGTAGCTACGCATAGCGTGGAAAGATTCATCAGTCGTGAAGCCGTGAAGTGGCCTCTTCACCGAAGAGAATCCTCGACCGCAAGCATCTGCGACCCAAGCATCGTTGCCACAACCCGCAACCGCAAACACCACTCGCAAATAGAAACATGCCCTGCCCACAACACATACCTGCAGTCAGAGGAGCACCAAAGCAAAAGGACAATTCTATACAAAAGCAAAAGCACACGCCATGAAGCCCGCCGCAGAGAGCGATAACATTGTAGATACACAAGGAGCTTCTTCACCAGAGGAAACCTCTGTCAGTGGAGAAATAATCATACATGAGGAATTGGCTCTTGCAGATTTAGAGGATGCTGTTGCTAAGAAATTACTAACCAGAAGCAGTACTAGTTCCGCTGATGACCCAAAGAAAGAAAGCTGCCCTTTGGGTACTACTAATGATGATGGGAATGAATCATCTTCTGGATATGCAGGCGATGGAGGCGCCACACAGGGCCCTCCTCCAGATCGTGGAATCATGCCACTGCCAGAAATGCAACGAAATATGGTCGCAACAGAGGAATTGACACCGGGTGCATACCTGTTTGAAGGCGGAGAATTCAGGACAGCAGCGGAAGCAAATGCTAATGGCTCGGATGACTTTGATTGGGAGGGATACCATAACCAGCAACGAACTAGCCAGCAACAGACTCGTGTCCCTGAACAAACAGGAACTAGCAGGCCTGTTCTGGCTGTTGCCAACACTGTGGAAGAAGTGGACCCACTCAGTCTTCCTCAGGCCATGCCATCAGAAGCAAACAGAGACAATATTACACAAGGCCAAAAGGATAATGGTTGGGTTGCTATTTGCGCTTGTGCTGGGCTTGCTTTAATGGGACTTTTTGTGCTTTTGATTGTATTCCTTGTTTCAGGCACCGAGCAATCAGCAACAACCAACTACCCAGTAGCAGCTTCATCCATGGCCCCGACCTCACCAATCTCACTGGAATCATATCTTTCATCTGTGTTGCCAGATCACACTATCAAATCCATGGAAGACAAAGACTCACCACAATACCAGGCATTTGAATGGCTTCTTGAAGATCCCTATGTCTATGGATATACTGAGAAACGGATTCTTCAGAGACATGCTCTAATGAGTTTCTTCTATGCCACTGCTGGTCCCACTCAGTGGACCAACAAGACAGGTTGGGGAAGCTACAGCCTACATGAATGTGACTGGTACCAAAGTCAAGAATATGCTTCAAAGACAATCATGCAGAATTATTACCCTGGTTACCTGCAAGGCTTTCTGGAGCCTCTACCTGACAGTAGATGTGATAATCAGGGAATCTACAGGCATCTTTGGTTGGATCAGAACAATCTCATGGGTTCTATTGTTGAAGAACTTTTTAGCTTGACCTCCCTCAAATCATTATCGGCTGGCCTCAATCCAATATATGGCACAATATCCAGCTACATTGGGCAGCTGAGTGACTTGGAGGGGCTTGCCATTGGTCCTGCAGGGCTGTCTGGATCGCTGCCAAGTGAAATTGGTTATTTGTCATCATTGAAGGTCAATGTCTTGTATGACAACCAGCTGGAAGGTACAGTCCCAGAAGGGATCTGGCACCATCCCAACCTGGAATTCCTTGTGCTTGGCCGCAACAACAAGCTCCAAGGTTCCATTTCTTCGAAGGTGGGGACATTGCCAAAGCTGAGGTGGTTAGTGTTTGAAGACTGTGATCTTTCTGGTAGGCCTATATCAAAGCACTGGTTATTGCATCCGCCAACGGGCCACTCATTTCCCTGTTCTCAATTTCTATCATTTCTGTCTTGAAACAGGGTCCCTTCCCACAGAACTGGGGCAAGCCACATCCTTGGAATGGGTGATCTTGTTGTCCAATAACCTTTCTGGCACTCTCCCCACTGAGCTTGGATCCCTCTCCAATCTTTTGCTCCTTGCCTTGTATGGTAATCCAATCGAGGGGGCTCTTCCTACAGAGCTTGGCCTTCTCTCTTTACTTTTCAGTTTGGATCTGAGGTTGAGTTCATACTCAGGAACTATTCCATCTGAGCTTGGTTTGCTTCCACTTCTGCAAACTCTATCACTGGATACCAACAGGTTAACTGGCACCATTCCCAGTGAACTTGCCAACCTTTCAGAGTTGTACATGCTTCCCCTTGGAGATAATAACTTCACTGGTTTCATCCCATCTGAATTTGGGTTGATGCCATCACTGGAAATGTTCTCTGTGGCAAACAATTCTCTCAGTGGGACTATACCACAGGACTTGGCACCCCTGCAGAATTCGCTTTACAGTTTCCATGTTCAAGGGAACTCACTGCTTTCTGGTGTAATGCCTGAGTTGCTTTGTTCCGTCAACAAAACTTGTGTGTTTGATTGGTTCGAAGAATGTGCGGGGCCGTATGGCCTAATCTTTGACTGCACTGAGATTCTGTGTGGTTGTGACTGCCCTTGCTGAACAGAATTAGAATAATCTACTTGATTAGCAATGTGCTAGCCAAAAACAAAGATGCTTCTGGGTGCCGACTTCAGCATCGTGCTGCCCCAAGACCGGTCCTCCTTTTCTACACTGCAAACTGAGCCTTGCCCCGAGTCTCTTCCCCCTACTACCTAGCTAGCTAGGCGTGGAATGTCTGCATGGCATACCGGTAAAGGTAACAGGGCTTTGACGCCGCGTTGCTCCCTCGTTGACTGTTGCACTCCACATGCGTGATCTCGGAGGACATGAAAACCAAGCAAGACAGGGAGGAATTTGATCGATTGATTGAATCTTCAATCATTCGAATGATTCATCATTCAATCGAAATATTCGAATAACTGCAGTCACGCATCGAATCGAATCGCGGACTGTTGCGAGAAAATCCGAGAAGCGGCTTCTGACTTCTGACACTCATCGACCATGACAACCACAACGGATTGAAAGAAACATCACCGTTAGAAGCGAGAAACAGGAACATCAGATACAACCAACACCAGAGCTCCAAGCAACCATGGTCAACGTTACGAAGTCCAACTTTATAGAGGTACGAAGGGCGAAGATCTCACTCGTCTTGCATGAGAATAAAATCAATTCTCACAACCTCGCTCTACTTTTTCTCGCTCTTTCTCCAATGAACTTCTATCTTTACAGCAAAGCAATGATCTGATTCAGCGATTGCCGAGTGCGGCATTTGTGTCGATTGACGAAGAAATGACGGGAATATCCATCCCCAACACTCCTAGGCCTCCCAAAGATCAAACGCCGAACGAACGATACCAAACGTTAAAGGCTGTCCCAGAGTAAGTATAGTCAGCAAGCAAGAAAGATGCCGTGTTTCTTGCTGTCTTGTGTCCAAATTGAGTGAGTTTTCTAAACTTTTTGTCGTCAATAATGAATTCCAGAAAGTTCCAAATCATCCAGTTGGGTGTTTGTCTGTTCCACGAACACCCCGACTATCATGGATCCGGCTCCATTCCTGAATTTGTCTGTCGCCGCTACAACTTTTTCATGTTTCCACCAGCCGACAATCACATTACCCGCGAAGTCGTTCTCAATGCTTCTTCCATTGCCTTTTTGGCGCAGCACAATATGGATTTTGACATGTGGACCAGGCAAGGGACTCCCTTTGTCACGGGAAACGTGGCCGAAGACTTGATTGCGCAATATCATCAAAAGCAGCAGTCCATACAGGAAAAGAAGAAACAAAACGTCAGCAATGCCTTACGACCCGGACGACGTCGTGTCGAGCTACGCCGTACCGAAGACATTGATTTCCATGCTCGTGCCATGGCATCTCTCCGCGAATGGCTTGATGGAGCCCAACCACCACCTCCCAATGAACAACAAGAGGAGGGACTTTCCTTTTTGTTGCCACCGGCCAATTCGTTTTTACGCCGTGCCTTGTACGAGAGTATTGCCGTGGAATATCCCGCGTTGATTCTGGAAAGTGCCGGTCCCACACATCCCAATCAAATACGCGTCCTCAGACTCAACGAACAGGAACAACAGGCACGAGAAGAACGGCTTTTGCGAGAAAGTTGGCAAGATTTGATTGTTAACAAAATTGGAGTTTGGAGGGTATTCATGGCACTCAGTCTGGCGTGTCATGGACTGGAAATACCTTGTAATTCCATTACATTTGCCGGGCAAGTCGGGGATATTGATTGGGGGCGGAGCTTTGAAACTTTGGGACACTTGAAATCTACAGGACGACAGATTCCTATGGTGGTACACAATGGGTACATGGATTTGATGTTTCTCTTGACGCATTTCCACTCGCACAAGCTGCCCGCCAACTTTGTGGGAGCGAAACGATTGATTCATTCCTACTTTCCAGTGGTACGTTTTATTGATGGTGATGATTTTTATTTTGTTTGTTTGTTATTTTGCGTGATTGGTATCTATCTAGTTTCCTCGACTAAATAATGGTGAAATGTCTCGCAGGTTTATGATACCAAATTCATGGCCACAGAATGTGGTCGAGCGGCCCTCTGGAACGATTCCACCAACACTGCGCTGGAACCTCTCTTTGTCAAATTTGTCAGCGGGAATGAAGATATGAATGGGTTGGTGGTTCTGGATGATTCAGACGAGACCGGCAATGATCAATCCCACGATGCGTCCTACGATGCCTACATGACGGGTTGTGTATTTGCCTTTTTTTGTCGTTTCATTACCCTGCACGAACACTTTGATTGCGACACGAGCAATTCACCAGCAATTCACCGCAAAGTGGGATCGTTCAGCCATCTGTTGTGCGATGCTAGTGATGAACTTGTGCGAAAGTTGTTTGGTCCCAACAAGGTAAGTACCTGGCTGTGCTGTGTGTACAAGACACATCGTGGATTCACTGCTCATCGTTTTGTTTCGTCTGTACCGTAGCTTTACTTGATGCAATCGATCTATGCCGTGGACTTGGAAACGGCAGAGGACCCGCATTGTCGCGGAATGATATCAGAATCCATCTTTCGCATCTCCAACTTTGACCCCTCAGTGACTACACGAACAATCATCTCTTGCTTGTCCAATGTGATTGATACGAGGGGTGAACGGGTGAACTTTGAATTGTACTGGTGCAACGATACCACGTTTCTGGTGGCTGCCAGCAGTAAGGTGGCTCCTCGGGTTGCCACGGCCCAGACTGACATTCTCAAGGAGCACGGGCGGTTTATTTACCAGGGGTTGCGGCTGCGCTTTCCTACAGCTGACATTGTGTCATGGGCAGAACTTCGCAAACAGGAAGAAAAGGAGGAGGAAATCACGTGGTCGTCGCGGGTTTTGAGTGTTTTGCGATACGCCTTCGGATGGGGGGACAAGGAAGCTGGTAGAAAGCGAGGCAATGACGCAATCGATGCTGCTGAGGATGAAGACGTAGAACCCCAGCCGAAGCGACGGCGTGTATGCTAGCCAGCTAAAGAGATTCCTAGCTCAGACGTTGTAAGAAAGCCCGCTCTTTCTAGTGTTGTTTCGTCAAGCTCCATAAGAACATGTAAGGAATGCGGTACTGGTAGCTAGTGAGATTCAAAGAGCTCTAAAACAACGCTATTGCTCGTCTTGCAAAGATATATCGCACTGGGATCATGGCAACGGTTGTCAGTGCTGTTGAAGTTGTGCAATGCAGCTGATTTCTATCGGGAATGAATAGTGATGTCTATGGAGTGGCGCCTCTGGTGTGGACCTGTTCTAGCGAGATCCAAATATTGGTTGGCGTTTCGGTTGCAGCTTCCAAGCGAGCTCTTCCATATTACATTTACATGTTCTCTGGCGTCAACTTTGGAGGACACTGATGTTTTTCTCGTGTGAATCGTTTGTCCTTGTCAAAGAGCGCAGCAGGTTGGCCTAGTTCGAGTCGTCGTCGACTGTCTTCGAGGAGATTGTAATATTGTCCCATTTGATCCTGGGTGGGTGATGGCATGGATTCGATTTGTTTCCGGGTATAATGCCGCATGTACTTGCGATCGGTGGTTTGCAAACACACTTGCAGGGCCTTTTGGGTAATCTTTTTGACCTGCTCGGGATGTTCTTCGGCCCAATCAAATTGGGCTTTCAAATCACTCAAATCGCGTTTGACGGGAACGTAATGTTCGTACGGTTTTAATAGAAAATGCCACCAATCGGCATACCCCGAATCGACCTTGAATACCAACGAGTTGGAACACAATTTCCATCGAAGACCCGTCCAGGTGGTCCCGGATATGCCTCCAATATCCAACAAGTACTTGTGCCACAATTGATCGGCTTGGGATAATCCGCGACTGGGCCATGTTTTGGTGGCATTGAGCCATTTTTGATTGTTGGGATTTTCTCCCATGCTCATGATTTTAGAACGTTGATGTTTCAAGACGTATTTTTGACTATTGTGATTGCCCCTATAAATGATTTGGGATTTGCGTTTTTCAAATGGAACGTCAAAGGGAGGACCAGTTTTTCCGACGATCCGATCGACATGGCGTTTTCCGTCGCCCCTCAGTTCGTAGGGCGTGGGAAAAAAGAAGATCCAATGATACTTGTCGCCGAGATGATTGACAATTTCCATTGGGAGAGAATGAGCAATGAGGGGAATGGGAGACGGAACGGACCAATTGTAATGATCGTAATTGTTGAGATCCGACGTGGGATAGAGCGCCAATTTTTGTTCTCCGGGAGTGATTAGGAGGTTTTGCAAGTAAAAAGGCCACAGACCGGCTTCAGTGTAGTTTCGGAACTGGCACTGTTCTATCAATGGAGGCAGTGCCAGAGATCCACTGGAATTCCAATACAACAGAGCCAATTGCGAGCGCACTTTAATGGCTTGCTGGACGTACTCGTTGATGGATGTTCCTGATGAACTCTTCCATCCATTATTGCCGTCGATACTATCGTCCTTTCCGTGTGGTCGTGAGTTTGGCTGTTGCTGTTGCTGTTGCTGCTGGTGTTGCTCGAAGAGTCCAAATCGGTAGAACGACATGGAAACATACATCAGCGTACATGCTTGGAAAACATGCCACAGTCTCATCTTCCGCATTCAATCTATCAATCTTTAGCAGGGATATGTACATGTAGAGGAGATGGGTTGTGAGAATTCATTGGAAGGTTGGCTATTAATTGTCGGCAGTTGTTGTCGGGGGAAGTAAGTTGTTGGTCTTGCTTGATCTTGGGAAAAGGATTTACTGAACCCCCCCATAATTTACAATTTATTGCAAATTGGATCTTTTCTCGCTTGCGTCAGCGTGCTTCAAACGCTTCCAGAACATTCGATTTTCTAGAACTTTCTATTTCGGCACAACAATGATCAATCGCAGGGTACCAGGTGCTGTCCGAGATACACAAGTGGTGCCCTTGGCATTTGTCACCAGTGTCGTACTGTACCGTAAAAGTATCCTGGAGCAACCCAAGAAAAGATGAATCTACCTGGCATTACATTCTGAAGGCTTTACAAGCTAGCTAGCCAGCCCCCAAAAGGATCCTCCGCACATCCGATTGCAATCTCAGCCTCAAGGTCCCTCGAGCTCCAGCAGTCGAGCAGTCGGGCAGTCTTCTCCTTCGGCGCCAGGGCTACCAAAGCAACAAATATTTGTTAAAAAGACAAGTGACAATGGTCGCAAAGCCGCTGCCCCAACTCATTCTACTCTTTGTCACGGACCAATTTCGCTACGATGCCTTTCAACCCACCGTCACACCCAACCTCTATCAACTCTCACTCGACTCCAAGGCCACGACGTTTACCAATGCCTACGTTTCCACACCAACATGTACTCCTGCCAGGGCATCGCTCTTGACGGGAAAGAGTCCCTGGGCCCATGGCATGTTGGGCTACAGTGGGACCGTCAACTGTCAAGAGTACCCCACCACCCTCCCTGGCATGCTGTCCGATCTGGCAGGATACGAGACATTCTCGGTGGGAAAGAATCACTTTGGATGGGACAAGACGGCAGCCTATGTGACACACGACTTTCAACACCTGGAAGTCTATGATGCACTCGACTACGAGCCTCGACCCGATGACTATCTGCAGTACTTTCACGAATTGTATCCAGGTAAGGATCCGCTTTCTGTGACGTGTGATCGGCTGGGATACAATGATTGGAGGGCATGTCCCTACGGAGGAGCCAATGAAACCCAGCATCCTACGGAATGGACGACTCGGCAGGCATTGCGCTATCTCCAAGAGTTTGACTTTAGCGACAAGAATCAAAAAATGTTTCTCAAAGTCAGCTATCATCGACCCCATTCACCCTATGATCCACCGCAACGACTCTTTGACAAACACCTCCACTCCAAGATAGAACCAGAACGATTTGTCAACAAGAGTAGTTGGGATCAGCAATGGTACACGACACGCATGCCCAAGGATGCCTATCATGGCGATCCTGGAGAAGAAAAAGCCCACTACACACGAGCCGGATATCTCGCCAGTGTCGAGTTTGTCGACGAAGGTATGGGGCGCATACTGGATTATTTGCGACAACACGCACTATTGGAACAGTCCCTCGTCTTGTGGACTTCGGATCATGGAGATCAACTAGGCGACCATTATCTTTGGAGAAAGGGCTACCCCTATGAAGCCAGCAGTCACATCAATATGATAATCAAACTGCCCCAAGGAGAAGATGATTCCAGCAGCAGTTATCTAGGCGGAGAAGACTCTGATGATGACGATGATGATGACGACGACGACGACGACTCGGATAGCGTGGAACGAGCATTGCGTGGAGATTCTAGCCCTGACTTCAGAAGGCAGAATCAAGAATCTACTACTACCAACACGGAACCGAAAACCAGCCCAGCCCTGGTGGAGATTCGAGATGTAGCTACCACTCTCTATGACTACGTGGGGATATTGGAGAAGGTCCAAAAGCGTGATCCCTTGGTGAACGGAAAGAGTCTCCTTCCTATCCTAGAAGGTGACGAGACAATGGTGCGAAGCTGGCTAGATCTGGAGCACTCTGTTGTGTACAGCCATAATATCCACTGGAATGCCATTGTGGGCTTTTATCCTGATGACGACGTGGACTTTCAACAAAGTGACCGAAGAGATGCACGGCAGGAAAGTTCCAACTTGCTGCTCTGGAAGTACATCTTCCATGTCTACGATGGAGACGAACAGCTCTTTTGCCTTTCCAGAGATCCGCAGGAAACCTATGATGTCTCGGAAACCAAACCCGACATTCTCAAACACTGGAGAGCCACCATGGTGTCTCAGTTTCAGGAAGAAGGCCGCGGAGAGGAATGGGTCCGTGATGACCATTTGATTGTTCATAGACCGGCCATCACTTACGGACCCAACTTTCCCTGCAAGGAACGAATCAAAGCATGATGTGCTGCCGTTCCCACCACCATTCCCCGCTGATCTCACCTAGCTAGCTAGTGATGGAAGTTTTGACCGCGTGGTTAAACTGAAGGTGACAGGAAGAAGACACATTGATCACAACGTGGGGTATCGCCTTTTTGCGGTACCGGGCACTGCTCCAATCAATCCCCAGATAGACTCTCACGGTCACCGATGAAGCAAACTCAATTTCTAGCTACCGGTAGGTAGCCAGCGTTTGCCTTTGATCGCTTTGATAGCTGCGCCCACATCATGCGGTAGGGAGGAGATCCGGTTCCCGGCAAGAAGGAAAAAAAGAGAGGAAGGAGGGCCAGACCTTAGGAGTGACACCGCTGGTCCCTTTCCCTAAGTACCCCATGTCCGATCCATATATCTGCAGATATTCCTTAGACCCAAATATTGCGTCACAAACTACTTTATCTCTACTATTAGTCTCTGTCTCGCAGGTGGGAACCAAAATTTCTTCCAGTCTTGACAAGCTCACGCAAACTTTAAACCCGCATCCCCAAACTTTAACCCGCATCCCCAAACTTTAACCCTCAACACCCGGTGCAATTGATGGATTTCGAAATCGTGGAAGCCATTCTTTTAAAAGTCGACAATGATAAAGAACAATGACGGGTGGTCAAAGCAATGCTCCTCCTCTCTCGCAGTTCAATTCCTGCCAAAGATCATTCATCAAGAGCTACCGCTCTTCCATTGACAATGACCCAAGGGCTTTCTTCAAGGGGAAAGACTGGAAGAATGTTACACCGGCGGGATGTCGGCACAACACAAACTTACTCCATGGCGCCTGCAAAAAAGTGAAGGCGTCCTCTTTCTATGTGAAGACATCTGCAGTGTGGGTTCCCCATTTACAGTTCCACAACCATGTACCAACCTGTCCAAACTGCAAGAAGAGTTCTTATGTGGATGTGAAGAAGGCTCGATGGATTAATAATCCCAAGATATTGTTTGGCATTTCACGGCACAAGTACTTGGACACGATGCTCTATCCATGCAACCTTTGTGGACGGCGCTTTGCAGGATATAACAAGGACAGCATGAAGCTAGATGCCAGTGTTTACGGCTCTTATTTCAATTATTATCTTGGTCATGGATATGCAGTAGATGATGAACTCTACAGTCAGATAGTGTTGGAGGCAGGAACGGAGTGCACTGCATCCATTGCGAAACGGCTGAAGCGTCTCGCCTACACAGCCTACTACAACGATTTTGAACTCTATCTAACAGCGGTGGGCTCTGACAAGATTGACACACGGCATCCCAAGAAGAAAGCGAAGACAATGGATGACTACTACGTCCTTACACAAACTCCTGATGAGCTGAAGCGACTACAGTCAGTCAAAAATGTTAAGCAGACGAACGCAACTCGAATCCGGCTGAATCTGTCATCTTCAAGGGGGAAAGCCAATGGGGATGTTCGCTTCAAAGATATGCTGGGTGACAAGGACGACCGAAACAAGTTTGGATCAGTCAATATTCTCCCAGGAATGGGTAGTACGAAGTTGCGCCAGTTGATTGAGTTGGGTGTAAATTCAATGCAGGAGTTGCTTGCAGTTGATCCTGATGACCATCCAAGACGTCTTTCCAACAAGATAAAGCAATGGCAACAGAAAGTGAGGAATTATTATGCCATTCACAATGTGCAAGTGGAACAACAAGAAGCCCAACTTATCTTAGCTGAGATCGAGGAGCAAGAAGCAATCGATGACATAGCTGAGTATATTGCAGAGCACGGTCTGCCTGGCCAGAGCATTCCTGAGGCCGACAGCGAAGAACCCCAAGACAACCGGCCACCACTGTTTTCCCAATTCACGGACAAGAAAGGGTATAATGGTCGTGTAATTTCGAAGCACATGATTGACAGTCTGGTCACTGTTGTGTTTGAACACCAGAAGGAGTACCAGGAGAGCAAAATGATGGGGCTGACTGCATCAATGTTGAAGATCGATTTTAATTACAAGCTTGCTTCCAAAATCAGAGTGTGGACTGGTCCAGGAAAAAGCTTCTGTCCTTATCGATGCATCATTACCATTCAGAATGAAGATGCTCTCACGGTGTTCTGGAAGGCTCTGAAGCACACAGAGTCATTCAGTGAAATCGAAGAGGATTTGATCCGTCTCAATGACAGATTGAAAATCAACAAGCAAGCACAGGAATTGACCAGACGAAAAGAAGCTGCTCGTGATCTGGTTGCTGATGGGGCAGAGTTGCCAGCGGCACAGGAGCCTGATCTCGTGGATGCTGTCAAGGTGGTGTACGTGGACAACTGTTGTCAGGTGTATGGATCACTTAAGCGAATCTTTGGCGCTGAAGTCATTATCTTGTTGGATTCCTTTCACTGGATGAAGAGATAGAACCAGTGCTTAAGAGATCCTAGTTCTGCCCTTGGTGGGATCTTTCGGGGGCTTTTGAGCAGGGCGCTGTTTTGTGTTGAGCCAACGGAGTATGAGAGAGCCAAGGAGCATCTTCAACAGAAAAAGAACCGTGAGCCCACACACAAAGAGATAATGAAAGAGGCCAATGCAATGATTCCACCGCCTGCTCAGCTGAGGAAGAACGTCGAGGCTGTCCTTGAATACATCCGTGCCAAGGATGCTCAAACCGAAATGCTACTGTCAACCTCCAATGACAACAATGAAAACACCCAAGCACCCAAGTTGTTTTTGAAGAATGACAGAGCGACAAGAGATAAGATCAAGCAGTTGTTCACGTACATCGACAAGGGCTGCTTGTCTCTATGAATTCCAGAGGAACTCAGCTGGTAGGTGCACAAGAGCTGGGATGGAGAGCCCTGTTGGTGGAGATCTCCTTCCACTGGCGCTGGAAAGGCCAGCCCAAGGCTGGCAGCCAATGCTATTCAATCACTATGGAAGCAATGATTGAACAGTCTAATTGCTCAATACCTGGCACTGGCCATACAGGATCCTGTCTACTGCAGAGCTCTACTTGTGCTGTTGGGTCTGTTCTCAGGTCAACTACTTCTTCATTACTTCTTTTAAACTATAATGAACACAAACTCTGATTTTGCTGAAACTCCATCCTCCAGCCATGCAGGATACAGATTCATGCATCTATCTTGGCTGGTATTGACCAAGCTACTTTCTAGATAGGTCATGGCTGAGGAACTGCATCATCCTTCCTTACAGAGGAACTCTATGTCCTCTACACTGTTCCTATCTTGTCTGAGGTGACACAGCTCATTGTACTGAAAGACTGTACAGATGCAACAGCGATCTTTCCATCAGACTGAGCCAGCACAGCTGCGCCCGCACCCATATGGCTCCATGGCATAATCTCATCCTCCCCACCATTGGAGTCATGGATGGGATGCCAACAAGCTTGCACATCATGGGGCTTCCTCGATACTTCCATGAAGGGTAGCATCTGGCTTCTCAGTGTGGACTTTGGTTGCTTACCTCAGGGTTACCAACCCTCTTGAATACATCAAGTGTCCATAGCTGAGTACCACTTGACACAATTGGGAGGGGCATCACATGGGCCTGTGATCAACCTCCAGTCGTGTTCAGGAGAGAAGGGTGCATTGGCATTGGTCCATCTGACCATCAATTGGGATCTCTACTGGTCTCCCCATACTTGCATCATAGCTCATTGGCTTAGAAGGCATCTGTCTATCTCCCCATAAGGGCCAGTGAGAAAAATCTTGGCCATAACTGTTCATCTGGAGCCCTCAACTGGGTTAGTTAGGTGACAAGTGTCACCTATGAGGTGGGACTGGTTGTCCTATCATCAGATATGCCTCAGCTAAAGGCAACACCTCGCAGCTTCCTCAAGTTTTACCATCTCCTTACATGGTTCAAAGGAATCCCGTCCAGAGACAGACTAACTTGTGCTTGCTTGGGTATGACCGTGCAGGTCCTGTCACATGACTGGCAGTGGCTCATCCACAGCCACCAGCTTGGGTGGGTGTGCTCCAGCCCGACTGCTTCACCTTTGCTGAGGGTGACACAGTGTAAGTTCTTCCCATCACCCGAAAGGAAGGGAGTGCCATCAGGGCGGAGGGTGGGAGTCACCAAAACATGTTTTCACAAAACATTGTACTTGGAACACTATCCTGGAGATGACAAGTTTAGCACAAACACTTGTCATGCTGGGCCATGTCTGCGGAAGGTAGCCCCATAGGGGGCATGCTACCCCGCAGCCATGGCCGGTCTGGGTACCTTGGGCTCACCAGTGCGACACAAACACTAGTTGCCCAGGCAAAATCCGTCTTGGACTTGCCCTTGAGGGCTGCATCACCACATTGCCATCTGGAGGATCTAAGGCGTCCCCGACTGGTGGGTCAGCTTCGCTCTTCGGTCCACCAGGTCTGACATCTGGTTTGACGGTGGGCTTCCATCAGGACTCTCTTGTCAGCGGCAGAGAGCCTGTACCAAATCTGCGTCCATTGCTGGATAGCTGAGACCAGACGTGTCAGGAAGGCGTGGAACTTACACTGCTCCCCATCACCTGATGTCTTGTCTTGCCAATGTCGGCTATTTGGCTAGCGTGAGTCACATCTCTTCGGTTGATGTCAAGAATGTGGCGGCATTCAGTAGCACCTCCTTGTACCCGTGTATGTAAACGATGCATGATGTCCCTCGCGACATACTCTCTCATGTTCACGTGCAGAAATGTCGTTCAAGGTGGGGACACCGGTAAGGCCCGCTGTAAGAACAGCTTCTGTATACCATCGTGTAGCCTATCACTGGAGTCTCCTTGGCCATCATTGTATCGGGTAACAACTGTGTCAAATTGACAATGAAGTCCACTGGGAACCTTGCTCCTCTGGCTGTATTGCACACTAGCAGCCATGTGAGTGTCTCACATGATCCAGAGAACCTGCTACTGACAATTGAGCGTCCTGACAAGCTAACGAGAATGGCAAAGCAGTCAGAGTCATGGAAGTGGGACTCACGATACCTTTCCATTGGTGGTCTGCACTGTCTTCTGGAAAACAGCGTAGAACCAATGATTCATTCGTA